CATAATACATCCTGCCTACCTGCAGCTCGATATCTACGCAAACTATTGCACCTAACTGAAAATGAGAAGTCCTAATTAAAAGAAAGAGAACTTGCTCGGCTGTCGCCATGTCTCTGAGCAGAATCCCATGGACATCCTGCCTCCTCCGCTGTCCCCGATGCATCTCCAAACAGTCAGTCCCTGAGGAATACGGATCAGTTGCTAAGGAAGGAGCGCGTGGTCTTCTGTCCCTAACATCCTCCTCCAAGATGCGACCCGCCGTTCCTCTATCCGGCGGATGGGTCGGAGGCGGATCGTCCGCCGTCGAAGTGGTCAGCGCACGTGCCCCCCCTGCGGCGGTCTCCGTCCGTTGTGTCAATGCACCAATCACGCTAGCAATGCGCTATGTCGAAGGGTCGGCCCCATTACTATCCAAACGCGATCCGCGAATCCCGCCCCGACCCCAACCTGCTGCATCCACCTCAACGTCTCCCCCTCGCAGCAACGGTGGGGGTCTCATAGATGCGGGTATGACAGCTAATCCTGGCTGCATGTCTCGCATCGCCTGAGTGACCTTCCTCACAGAGCCTAAACCATGAGGCCGAGCCTTCATCCGCGACTGCGGAGAAAGACTGTCTAAACCTCTACCCTCAGCCAGCTGTGTCCCTCCTACAGACGAACGACTCTCAGATCCACCACGACCACTATCCCACGACCTCGTATTTGCCGCGCATGCGGCCCTAATGCTCTCCATCTGCGCCATAGGATCGCAAGGGGGAGGGCTGATGCCTGTCATGGAGGAGGGCACTGACGGGCTACATGGCGCGTATGGTGAGGGATCTCCCAAAGCTCTCCGACTAGCATCCTCCATCCGCCCCCGCCGATCAGCCGTAAGAGGATCCTCTCTACCTTCGCACTCCAAAACTGCAGCGGGCATGGCGCCACCTAAAGGCAATACAGAAATACCCTCCGCAAGCGCGTCAGGGTGGTCGGCTACCACTGAATCGACTGGCTGCTCACAAGGTGCGTCAACTGCACGCTGCTGCATTTCTGCAACATACGCACTACCTCGTCCCTCATCCATCTGCTCCCCTCCACCGACGAGCTGTCTGTCCTCCTCGCATCCATCATGCACACCGACTGCCTCAGATCCTCCGTGAGGTCCACCCCCTCCACCGACAAGCTCATCACCACCTCCCTCCACATCGTCATCCTCTCCACCAATTGGTCGAAGTCCCAGTCTGCAAACACCGCCATTGCCCTGCGCGGGTCGGGAGACGTCCCCATCCTCAACCTCGTCGACACCATGCGTCCGCACCCCCGTGGCACAACTGTTAGGAACATCCGTCTCGGCGACGAGTGCGACGCTCGTCTCAAGGGCGCGAGCAGCATCCAAACTCGCTCAGATGTCCTGTGTCACAGGGCATGACTGAGCAAGCGCTAGCGCTCGCTGTCTCTCCTCTCGGTCCCTCCTGTCTGCATCCGTCTCCACATCCATATCCTTCACGGGCGAAAAAAGAACAGCATCCCCCGTGCTCTGAATGGGCTGGCTGGCCGTACCCTCCATCCCCTGAGCCGCCTCCATCAACAAACTGCTTGAGACACCCCCGTCAGTATCCAATCCTCGTACAACCTGGCTGATGGGTGTATTGCCCGCGGCAACGGGGGTCTGTCTAGCATCACCGGCGGTCGGCGGAGGTCCCATCGACATACCCAAAATATCGGACAACGAGCCGGGCGCCGCGGCTAAATCCCCTGTAGTGGCCAGAAGGTCGCGGCCAGCCTCAGATCTCACCCTCTGAGGTGAAAGTGGAATCTGTCCCCTCGATCCTCCGTCTCCTCCACCCCTAGCTGACCCCCCCGCCCCACGACCCCTCTCCTCCGCCAACCTGGCAGAATGTCGATGACTGTGCTGCTCCTCGACAGCAATGTCTCGAGGACCCTCACCACCTCCCCTTGGGGCGTTGCCCGCACCGCTGTCGAAATCCATGTCGTCCTCAAACTCGCTGCTGCCCTCGTACCCTCCATCATCGTCGTCGCTGTCGGAGTCGATGGAAGTGTGCTGTCGCTGTCGAATGGACAGGCCCTGACACTGTGCATCTGCACGACCTGGCCTCCCAACCACTACAAGTCCAGTCGCAGCACCATCCCGCGGGCGAGGGGAAGGACGAGGACGGGCCGAGGTCGACCCTCGCGTCTCGCGTCGCATCTGTGACAGGGGGGCATCATCGTCGGATGACCGGCCCGACTCCACATCCTGGTCATCAGGATAAGACCAAGGATCCTCCTCAATCTCATCCTGCGCGAGAGGGTCGGGCTCTCGGTCGTTCACCGCGTCCTCCTCGTGTGGCAGAAGAATAGTCGCTCGCCTGCCAAAATATCTCTCCACGCTCGCAGGCTGTCGAGTGAGTGAGTCCTTCCGCCCCTTCCGCACCTGCCTGTCCAGCTGCTCATCAGTAACCTTGTCCGCAGGGCGGACTCCCGAGTCACGTGGCTCCGGTCTCTCCTCCTCCGTGACGACATCCTCGTCCTCCCATGGGAGAACGTACCCCACCCCCCTCGTGTGGCATCGAAGCAGTCTCAAATTGGTGGATATCTCCACCAAACGAGTGAGCTTGGTAAAACCAAGCTTGTTTCGCCGCTTCACCTGAATGCGCTCGTGGGCAGCCCAGTTCCTCTCCGCAGGAGAGGCACATGTCCACGTGTGCATCAGGCGAACCGCGATACTCTGCAACAGAGGCACACCGTCCCCCCACTACACCCACCACTGAGCAACCGCCGATGTCTCCTTCTCCCCCCTGCAAGTGTCCGCATCTCGGTCCCCGTCACGACCGCCATACGCACAATCGCCCTCTCGACTGTGGAACTCCCTCAAAGCTGTCCTCAAATCCTCGTACAGCTGTGTGTCCAGTCCTGCTTGCTGACGAAGGTAAATGTCAGCCTCCTCTGCCAACTCCCTCTCGTGATCTGTCCTGCATGCCCCCTCAAAGTATGCAATACTCCTGTGTCGTGGGTTAAGCAGGTGGGCCATGCAATGAGCAGGCTCCAACATATGCCTCTCCCTCGCCTGCAAACCTCTGACAAGGACGTCCAACTCTGCACGGCTGGTGCGTCGGGTAGGCGCCTGTGCAACCCTCTTAATGACCCTCTCCGATCATGACCACAAGCGCGACATCACACGCCCCCCACGGTCGAGTCTGCGCAACAACTGCATGACAGGTGTCATCAACTCCACAATGTCCTCGACATTGTCCCAAAACGCAGCGAATCTGATCTGCTGCCGCACCCACCTCGACTGAAGCCACAAGCTCCGTCTCCACGGCTGTCGCAACCACTCGTCACTGATCATCATCTCCTCGAGCGCTTGACGTCGCTCCAACAGCCGCTCCAACAGCCGCTCCAACATCAGGTAATGTGTAACGAATCTGGTCTGCACTGGGTAAATGAGCTCCCGACCGCGACCAGAGGTGCCGCTAGAAGCCGACGACGGCGCTGTCTGCCCTTAGGCGGTGTGACGTGCGGAGAATCGCCTGAAAAGGGCGAGGGCGGCCCCGTGTGACCAAATGAGTCGCACGACAACCCTCGCTCTGATGACCGTGTCCTCCCTGTGTCCAACGACACCATCTCGTCCATCCTTCCCAATGTCCGACAACATCAGGTTGCAGACATGCACCGCACATGGGAGCCAAGTGATGCGACTGTATCGAAGATCCTTGTCCTGCGCAAGGAGCTTCGCGGCCGCGACGTATGTCCCCGCAGAGTCCGTACAAATAGCATTCACATTTTGGAGGCCGAAGTCATAAAACACCTTCTTCCACCGCCTCATAACCACAACCGCCGTGTCCTACTCAGCACCGTCCCTCTGCACTGTCCTTAATAGGTACGCCCCCGAAGACCCGGCTGCCAAAAAGTTGACTATCTCATCAGCAGTGATGGATTTGCGACCGTCCGTGAGGATGGTCGCTCCGATCGCCGCCACATCTCTCCTCAGTGTCGCGAGCATCTCCACAACGTCCTTGTGCTGCTGCACAATACCATCGCCAGAGATGTGGCGAAGGTTGGGCAGAGTCGGATGCACTCGAGGGGGGCATGTCGCGAGGTGCCTCCTAAAGGTGTTGTACTCTGACCTCCCCGCCGCGTGAAACGGGATGCCGCTCACATAGAACCACTGTAGGAAATAGGCGTCCAGGTCCTGCTGCCATTTAGGGTCGAACGACTCCTCCATGCGCGACTGACGAAACTTCTTCACGGCTCCTGTCGGCGGAAGGGGCTGCGAAGAAGTCCTCCTCTTCGACGACGTCCCGATGGCAGTGACCGCTCTCTTATCTCCCCTCAACACTCCGCGGTCACACTCCGCCTCCCTCTCAACATCGATCGGAACCTCCGCAGACCTGTCGTCGTCAGCCCGACGACCACCCTGGACACCTCCACTCTTAGGCGCCTCACACTCCCTTCCAGCCTGCTCGTTCTCTTCCTCCGCCACTCGCTCAGGGTCATTTTCGTCTTCCTCTCCCAAGTCTCCCCCTTGTTGACCATGTTCTCGTCTCTTGTCTGCCCACCCCCTCTCCGCAAGGTACGCCTGTATCTTCTTCCAATGACTCTGATCAAAGTGGTAAGCACTCTTGTTTCAGATCTCAGCTAAAACGTCCAACGTGGATTGCGGGCAGTTGTTCTTGATTGTGTAGTGCAATGCGCACTTGCTCTGACTGCCGACGAATTCCTGGTCACACAGCTTGCACTTCATGACGAAGTTCCCATTCCGCCCTGGCAGCGTCTGGCCCTTCTGCATCCATTTGAAACCAACGAACTTCAACTCTGCATCTCTCTGCCTGTCTCTGTTAACAGGGATGAATTCTCCATATGTTCCCCTACGCTTCGGCAGCATCTTGCTCGATGCCCCAACAGACCGCCGCCGTGGACCGACCTCTCTCACGGCAACCCCCGCGCAGTGGCCTCCCTCCCGAAGTGCCCCTCCGTTGTTGCCAGCAGGCCTGCCTACCAGTCCCCCGACGTGCCCCTACGTTGTTGCCAGCAGGCCTGCCTGCCAGTCCCCCGAAGTGCCCCTCCGTTGTTGCCAGCAGGCCTGCCTGCCAGTCCCCAGCACGCCCCGGGCCCAACGACGCAGGCCCCGGCCCGCAGCGCGCGCGGAACGGCCTCCCCCGCCACGCGACAGGTTTAAGCGTACACGACGTACGTACGCGTGTACGGGCCGTACGTACGACGGACCCCGCCGTTCTCTCTCTCTCTCTCTCTCTCTCTATCTATCTATCTATCTATCTCGCTCGCTCGCGCGCACGCGCGCGCGCCGTGGTAACGTCTTCGGCGCGACAAATTCCTCTCTCTCTCTCTCTCTCTCTCTCTCTCTCTCTCTCTCTCTCTCTCTCTCTCTCGCTGTGGCGATCTGTACAACGCAGTAGGTACGTGGAAAACCAATCGTGTAGCTCTCTCTCTCTCTCTCTCTCTCTCTCTCTCTCTCTCTCTCTCTCTCTCTCTCCCCCTCCGCGGCGATGTCTACAGCGCAGCAGGTGCGTACCAAACCAATCTTCTCTCTCTCTCTCTCTCTCTCTCTCTCTCTCTCTCCCGCCGTGGTGATCCATACAGCGCAGCAGGTACGTGGAAAACCAATCTTCTCTCTCTCTCTCTCTCGCACGCGCGCGCGCGCGTGTTGACCGCGCGACAGCCACATTTCGAGTCGCTGCTTCTCCGCACTACCGCACCCGAAGTGACGG